GATTTGCATCTCACATATGGAAAACCCCGGATACCCCCCTAACTAATTTTAAATTTACAAGTAGAATTCGTTACATTTATATATATATATATGTACACACATAGTTTTCGCACAAACATCCTGCGAATGGCTCGTATCGGCCTTATTTGATTCCTGTTGTATATTATACATATTATGTACATATAATACAATGCAATTAAATATGAGATAATTGATAAATAATAATTGATAATTGATAAAATATATTTTATTTTTAGTTAAAACCTTGATGGCTGGATGGTTTTCGTGATTTGGTTTGTAAACACAATTTGCCTCAAGAGAAATCTTTGCGTCATAAGTAACGTTTTCGCGAGTCAAGTTACTTGCGATTTCTTCTCTCAACCTCTTGGAATATAATTTGAGATGGACATCATCTTTTTGGAAACCAAACAGAGCAGACACGGCATAAACATTCCATGTTTGACCTGTCAAATCTAATAAACAATCTATTTGAGGTTAAGTAACATTAACAATTTTCGAAGTTAACTCTACGTTCAATGAAGAATAAGAGATTGATAAGTTTTTTTAACGCTACTTCGATTGTATATACAGTACTTGTATATACTTGCCTATATACAGCAATGTTGTACTCTTCCATTATTTTTACGCAAACGCAGAATTATTTTTGCTAAAAAGTGGGGATGGGGGAAATTAACAAAAATAAAGAAAAAATCCCAATACCAATCACTTCCCAAACCGATAGGATAGGTTAGGTTAAAGTTTGTATTCATTGTAATACTTAACTTTTGGTTCCATTGTATAATTCTAACTTTGACACATATCAATTAAAAATTCCGGTTTTAATTATATAAAAAAAAAAAAAAAACATATAAAGCGTTTTATATACCGTGTAATCCTGAAATATCAAGTTCTTCGTTTTCTTCCGGCCTGGTACTTAAATCGAATCTCTGTCGTTGTTGCATTCGCGGAGTCCGCGGTGTACATATGACGTTACTACTTCCCGGCTTGACAGCATTGTTTATCGAGCGATTCATTTTACGAAAACTGTAAAACTCAGGGAATATAAACGTTCAAAGATATTCCAAAAATGCATTTACACGTTTATTCTTTACACATATTATTTATATAGAAACGGAGCGCAACTTGACACCAATTCATCGAACAAATTTTGGAAAAGTCAGAAACTTACTCAAAGCTACCAATAAGCGCGCCAGTTTTATGTAGTGTGAAAGGGTGCGTTCAGACAACTCAACGGTTGAGAGATCCTCACTTATGATAGGACTATTCTTCAAAATCTGAATGCGGTTCCAAGAGTATGATCCAATCAGAAGTGATTATCTCTCGACCGTTGTGCAACTGTTGAGTTGTTTGAACGCACCCAAATATGGCTTTGGGTGCGTTCAGACAACTCAACAGTTGCACAACGGTCGAGAGATAATGGGTGTGTTTAGCCGAAGTTAGCGCTACGTAGCG